GCTCATGGACGGGCTGGCAGCGCAGTTCAGGGACTTCATCGCATCGGCAGACGACGCGTTGTACGATTCCCTTGGCCTCTGCTTGGCGCAGCTGGGGCCCAGGGAATTCGCCAAGAGCAACGCGCCTATGTCTGGACAGCCTGTTGGGAGGGCCACCTGCGCAGCCGACCTGGTAGGGGGCGCGTCGCAATCAGACGCCATCTGCGTCCCGACCACTGCCTTCGCGTTGCGCTTCCAAGCCGCTGGCGGCAACGACGCTGTGCTTGCTGCTGTGGAAAGCTTGCTGGCACTGCAAGCTAAGCCAGATGAATGTCGCGCGGCGTCGGCAGTCTTCACAATAGCTCGCGACTGCGCGAAACCTGCACCGGACTGCTCGCTACTGGCTGACGTCGGCCCTGCCGACTTAGCGATGGCGTCTGCCGTGTACTCGCGCCCCGCGCTGGGCGTGCGCATTCGCAGAGGCGCGATAAGCGCGCTCAGAGATTGAATTGGCCCAGCAGGGTCGACGTGGATCAGCCTAGTCCACGAGTCCACATGCAGGTTCACTGCCCTAGGCCTCGGCGGTTCCTTGCTCCCGGTCGGTGAGTGGCTTGACACCGCGCTGACCCTAAAGTGCTACTCTCACCACAGGGCTGGGTTCCATGCAGGCTACGCCTGGAGCACGAAGGATTTGCCAGCCAGCACGACGTCCACCGTCGACGAATCCATGCCTGACTCGGTGCGGCAGCACCACAGGGCGCAGGCCGCGCTGACGACATCCCGAAGCAGTGCGCAGCTGGTGGCCGCGTACACCCTGATGGGAGGTCCCAATTCGCTCCTGAGGTCGCCTGTGGCGTTTGGCGCGGTCACCGCAACTACCAGGTTGCCATGCAACTACCCCGCATGGCAGCTGGCGAAGGTGGCTGCAGCGCAGGGCGCACAGAGCTGTTCGGCCGAGCTCCGCGTGATCGCAGCAAAGGTCCTCGGCCACGCGTCGGGTGCCTCGACCTTATTTGCGATCGCAGACTTTGATCGGTCCGTCATTTTGAGAGCGCCCAGAAAATAGTGATGTCGCTCACTGACCCATAGGCGCCCGAAGAAGTGACCGGAGCCATGGTCTTCAGCGTGCGCGCGGAGGTTACCGCTTCTGGTTTCGACGCTGCTGTCAGGGCTAGCGCGGTTTCCTTGCTGTGCGACTGCAAACACAACATCAAAGGTGACCGTGAGCAGTTCGTCCAGTTTGTCTCATCACCTGAACACAAGAACATCGTCAAGCAGCAGGCGGACAAGCTCCGCTCGGAGGCAAAGACGACTGCTGGCGAGGCGCCCACCGCGGCCGAAGAAGCAGCCCCTGGCGCACGTTGGGCTGCAATGCCTGGCGCCTGAGCGCTGGCTAATACATGGGAGATCACCGCCTCGGCCTTTTAACTGGCCTCGGCAAAGCCGTTTGCTGACGATCTCATCCTGCTATTGAGGCGCCTGGTATATAGTAAAAGTAGTAGTAGTAGTAGTCGTCGTCGTCGTCGTCGTCGTCGTCGTCGTCGTCGTCGTCGTCGTCGTCGTCGTCGTCGTCGTCGTCGGTCGTCGTCCGTCGTCGTCGTCGTCGTCGTCGTCGTCGTCGTCGTTCGTCCGTCGTCGTCGTCGTCGTCGGACGTCTTCGTTCGCCGTCGTCGTCCTGTCCTCGTCGTCGTTCCTCGTTCCTGTCCTCTTCCTCGCCTCGTCCCGTCCTCGTCCTCGTCCTCGTCCTCGTCCTCGTCCTCGTCCTGTTGTGCTCGACGTCGTCGTTCGGTCGTCGCCGTAGTAGCAGTAGACTCATACTAGTAGTAGTAGTAGTAGTAAGAGGTAGTAGTAGTCGTGTTATGTAGTAGAGTAGTAGTAGTAGTAGCAGTAGTAGTAGTAATAGTAGTCGAGTAGTAGTTAGCAGCAGCAGTATACTAGTCGTTTATAGTAAGTAGTAGTAGTAGTAGTAGTAGTAGTAGTAGTAGTAGTAGTACGAGTAGTAGGAGTAATAGTAGTAGTAGTAGTAGTGGTAGTTAGTAGTAGTAGTAGTAGTAGTAGTAGTAGTAGTAGTAGTAGTAGTAGTAGTAGTAGTAGTAGTAGTAGTAGTAGTAGTAGTAGTAGTAGTAGTAGTAGTAGTAGGAGTAGTAGTGGTAGTGGTGGTGGTAGTAGTAGTAGTAGTAGGACTAGTAGCAGTAATAGTAGTATTAGCAGTAGCAGTAGTAGTAGTAGCAGTAGTAGTAGTAGTAGTAGTAGTAGTAGTAGAAGTAGTAATAGAAGTAGTAGTCGTAGTAGTAGTAGTAATAGAAGTAGTAATAGAAGTAGTAGTCGTAGTCGTCGTCGTCGTAGTGGTAGTAGTAGTAGTAGTAGTCGTCGTCGTAGTAGTAGTAGTAGGTCGGTAGGTCGGTAGGTAGGTAGGTAGGTAGTTAGGTCGGTAGGTAGGTAGGTAGGTGGGTAGTAGTAGTACTGGTACTAGGCGTAGTAGCAGTAGTAGGAGTAGTAGTAGTAGTAGTAGTAGTTAGAG